GCAGCAGTGCCGAGCGCTGTGGGTGGGCGCGCCTTTGCGCGGGACTTGAGGGGCTCAGGTCCGCCTGAGTATACCAGGTCCCGGAGGCCCGCTCACCTGCCCGGATCGGGCCTCTTTGTGTGGGGCGGGGCCCAACCAGCGAAGGCCTTGGCGCGTATATCTGGGCCAGGGCTGCCCGGAGTCGGGGCCGCGCAGACAAAGCGCGGCCGTGACCTCCCTCTCTGCCCGGGTCGCCCTCGCACCTGATGCCCTCCCTGCGGACACGCCTCCTCCACAGGGCTGCAGCCCGCCGCCCAGACCTTCAGCCCCTGCCCTCCCACACGGGCGCCGTATGGAGACCGATGTGGCTGCGCGCAGTCACGTCCCGGCAGTTCCCGTGGAAGTAATGAGCGGACCCCGGCCGCTTCTCTGGGCTGACACCTGGGGGCCCCCCAGCAGTCCCCAGGACGCCCACCCCTGGGAGGGAACCGTGCGGGGCGCAGTCTCAGCCGGCACGTCTCAAGCGGTGCAGGGGAAGGGCCTGGGGTCCTGCCCCCTTAAACTGGGTGCCGCTCTTGCAGGTGGCTGCCGCGCCTTTGAGGGCGTGGCACCCAGCACTGAGCCTTGAAAGAGTGCTAGGTGGGGCCCGGGACCTGCGCACCCACCCGGCCCACACTTCCCCCCGAGACCCCCTGTGGGCGCGCGGGCCGGGAGGCTGCGCAGGACTTGAAGGGCTGGGGATGCGCTCTGCCCACTAACTCCCCTCGCTAGTTCTTGGCTCCGGCTCTTTTTCCCGCGTTCTATGGCGCCGCCTGGTGGCCGTGGGAGCCCAGTGCGCATGTTGGGATTGGAACACAATCAGAACGCACCTGTTTGTCTTTCCTTGCGGTAGTTGAACTCGATCCCTCCACTTGGCAACAGGTGGGGCAGGTAGCAACAAAAAGTCATCCTCCTGCCTGTTGAACAAGGTAGCCTGCAGATGAGAGCTCCGTGTGCCCCGACGGACCATCTTCCCTGCTTGCCTTATCACGCCCGTCCCCCTGCTGCACCGGGATTTGGAAGCCACGTGGTTAGGGTCTGAGAGGTGTGGGGCATGCCAGGAGGGCCATGTACGGTCGGGAAGCAAGAGCCTTTTACTTGAGTGGGGAGGGGCTGCAGCAGGTGGGGTCACTAGTGGGCTGGAGGCTTTGCTGGGAATGGGTGGGCATGGTCAGAAGTTCACTGTGCTGGGGCAGAGCTAGAGAAAGAGCATGTGGGCGTGGTCCTGAGGGGTTCCCACAACCTGGTCCTAACTTGGGGTGGGCATGGCCGCAGAAGGGGTGGTGGCGTCTTCCCCTGCTGTGCTAAGAGCTCTGAAGGCCGTGGGGAGGGTCTGGCCCTGACTGTTTTAAAAGGTATACCTGGCTGCTGTTTGCATGGGAGGTTGGAGTTTCTGTTGCCCCTCCACCCCCTTCTCCCCGGCACCAGCACATGTATGAGATGTTTGTAGCTACCCTCAATTTCCTCTGTACCCCTGAAATCCTCATGCCCGCCCCCCAGTGAACTGGGAGTGTACAGAAGAGCTATTGTGACGAGACAGATGTCCAGCAGGGTGAAAGACATGGCGTGGATCTGTGTGAGGGCATTTCTGGCATGGCCATTCTTGCATTCTACCTCTGGGGCACCTCTGGCCCTGAATAAAGGCCCCCAGTAGTGCTGGGGTGTAGTTGCCACTGGAGAGATAGCTAGTGCTCCCAACTCTGCGGTCTGTAGGGGAACCTGTGCACTCACTTCCCGTGAGATGGTCCCTGCTGAGCTGAGCTGAGCTGGTGGCCGGTTTGGGGCATGAGTGGAGTTTGTGAGCTTGGGGGGTGGGGGGCACTTGGCCGTTGGCGCTTCTCCACTGTTGTATGGGGTCCATAGGTGGAAGGCAGGGTGGGGAGAGGATAGCCTGAGCTCTGCTTGCTTGCAAGTCTGGAAGTATGGGCTGTGGCGGTAGCGCGCCCCACCCCCACCCCCGCCTGGTCGCTTTGGCCTGGCTTCAGAGCGGAGCTCTTCTGACGGGGTTGTTATGCCGTCACGTGGCAGTGCCACGTGCTAAGCGTTCTCTGCTGAGCCTGAGGCTCACACCCACCAGCGTTCGAAGGGAGAGGTGAAGATGTGCTCTCCTCTGAAACCCTGTGGTGCAGTTCTCTGCTGCCCTTCAGGGTTGCTGTGAACTAGAAGCCCCTGGTGGCAGTTTGGCTTTTGTATCTTTTTAATCAGTGGGTCAAGGAACCCTGCTGGCACGCTGGGATAAGTGCTGGTTGAGCTGTTAGCTGCATGGTTGGCCGTTTAAAGCCACCAGCCACTTCATGGGAGATCAATGAGGCCGTCTGCTCCCATAAAGATTTTGGGCTTTGGAGACCCCATGGGGCAGTTCTCCCTGGCCCTCCAAGGTTGCTGTGGCTCCGGATCACCGCCATAGTGGGTTGGGTTGGATTTATTTCAGGTGTACCCCCATCAAATCAGGTGCAACCCCCATCAAATGCACAGCCATGTAGTACCCAACACCGCCAGCAAGACACATGCACCACCTAAAGACTCCTTCCTGGTGCTGTAGAATGTTCTAGAACTTCACACACACACACAAACTTGCTGTCAGCACTTGTGCTCAGGTTCCATGGTGCAGATGTACACGCTGGCCAGAGGGCCCTGGGCAATCCCTGGTCCCCTCTCAGGGAGAGCCCCGGCTGAGGGAGAAGGTCCCCCATGGTGCCCTGCCGTTTGGAGCTCCGTGTGCCCCGACGGACCATCTTCCCTGCTTGCCTTATCACGCCCGTCCCCCTGCTGCACCGGGATTTGGAAGCCACGTGGTTAGGGTCTGAGAGGTGTGGGGCATGCCAGGAGGGCCATGTACGGTCGGGAAGCAAGAGCCTTTTACTTGAGTGGGGAGGGGCTGCAGCAGGTGGGGTCACTAGTGGGCTGGAGGCTTTGCTGGGAATGGGTGGGCATGGTCAGAAGTTCACTGTGCTGGGGCAGAGCTAGAGAAAGAGCATGTGGGCGTGGTCCTGAGGGGTTCCCACAACCTGGTCCTAACTTGGGGTGGGCATGGCCGCAGAAGGGGTGGTGGCGAGTGTGCCTGCCTGCCTGCGAGTGTGGTGGCTGTCAGCAGTAAGCCACTCCCGCCCTCTCACTGCCTGCCTCCTCTCTCTCCCAGGCCTCCGTGGGCTCTGAGAAGCTCTTCGCCCCAGCAGCTGACAGAGGTACGCAGTCCCCTGGGTCTTCGGGACAGCTAGCCCTGTGGGTGGCTAGAGGGGGCTGCGTGGGTTCTCTGCCCGGGTGTCCAAGGTGCACTGGTGGGAGTGGCCAGGAAGGTGTGCTCTGCACCACATCCCTCAGATGCCCCTGGGAAATGTGATGAATGCGGCTGCTGCCCTCTCTGTGGGGGTCTGAATCCTCGGGAGAGTCAGAGTGCCTCTGCTTGGTACCAAGTTGGCAGCTATGCCCCCTGGTGCTGCCGGTATGCTAGCCATCTCCTGGGTGCCCCTGCCCTCCGAGTGGGCAAAGCGGGGGCTCACTGGGTCAGGATGGCTATGGCCCCAGTGCTTGCTGAGACTGAGGTGGAGGTGCCAGCAGGATACCCCACTGGAAGGGCTGTGTGGACAGAGAGCACCATGCAGAGTGGGACCTGAGGGCATTGGATATTTGAATCACGGGGGTGCTGGTGAGCAGGATGAGGGGAGCTCCCCCTGACTCTGAGCTGTGAAGGTGGGACTCACCACCTCTCTCCCCACCCCAGGCCCATCGCATGGGGAGAAATTGGAGGTCAAGACTGTGATGGTGCCCAGGGTCTCAGGGCTGGAGCGGAGCCGTGAACTGAGCACCGAGACATCCTTTCTACCTTCTGTGCCCAGCCCCACGGCCGCTCCTGCGGCCACCACCATTGCTAGTGCACTTCCAACGGGGCCCCCGCCAGGCACCCGGGCGAGCCCCCTGGTGAAGAAGGAGGCCCCTGCCCTGCCCCGCCTCACCCCACAGCCTCTGCCGCCACCCACACACCCCCGGTCCCGGGCCCTGCCCCCCACACACGTGCCTCTCTCACTGGGCACCTTCCCGGGCCCTGGCCAGTTCTCACACAGCAGCCTGCACAGCCTCAGGTAGGGCTGGCCTCCAGGGGAAGGTAGGGGGTTGGGGGGGAGTAGGGGTAGGGTGGTTCTCCAACCCTGCATGACCCACCCCACCCTCAGCAGGAGCAGCAGTGCAGCCGGTGGCCCTGGCCTCAGCCTCCCGAAGAACATGGCCCTGTCGCCCCACGGGACGGGCCCCATGCTGGCCCTGCCCAGCCCCAACCTGTCTACCTCGCACTTGGCGCTGAGGGCTCAGGCCCAGCACCAGCAGCCCCCGGCAGCAATGTTCGCTGCCCCCCCGACACTGCTTCCTCCCCCAGCGCTCCCCACCAATAGCCTGGTTCTCCCTGGGCACCCGGCAGGTAGGTGCCAAGCCGTCCACTCATAGCCCCATGGCTTTCTGCCCCACCCCACCCCAGAAAGGGAGGGAGGGTGGGTCAGGCCTGCCCAGCTCAGCCCCTCCCAGGGGCTCCCAGCCACGGGCTGTGCTGAGACCACTCCCCGCCCAGACACCTGTGCGCATACTCATGCCCACAGAGAGCAGCAGGTGCACACAAAGACAGGCCTGCACATACAGACGTGTGCACAGGTACAGACACATGCTCACAGTGATCAGGTACCACATGCACATTCACACACCTACGAGAGCGTTTTAAAAAGCTACAGGAAATATAATTAGCGATAATGGCATTTTTCACAAACTTCTTGAGGCCCCTCAGGTACACTCATATACACATGTGTACACATGTATCTACTAACACAATACACACAGTGTATGCATGTGCATCCACCCAGATCACCATACACACACATGTACATAGATGTGCTGCGTCTGGCGCCTCCCTGCCCTTGCCCCACTTCCTGTGTCCAGCACATGGTCCCACCTGCCAGGGACCCATTGCAGTGGCCCTGGTGTTGCAGGTTGAAGAGTCTGGGCTGGGCCAGCACGGCTGCACAGGGCCGGGGCAGGGGAGCTGATGGTCTTCTCTCTCACCTCCAGATGCCAGCCTGTCGATCTCTCTCAGCCCACCAACCATGTACTGCCAGCCTCCCTCGGGGATTCTGATTGGTACTTGGTCACAGGCCCCCTTCTTCCCTCCACCCCCGAGTGCACAGCTGGCATGCAGCCACTGCGGCGGGGCCCACCCAGACCGGCAGTGCCAGGTGACTACCCGCCTCGCCCCAGAGCCCGCGGCCCACGTGCCTCTCTGTCTCTCTTCTCTCCTAGATCGCGAGCTGCTCAGGCAGGAGCTGAACACGCGCTTTCTGGTCCAGAGCTCGGCACGGCCTGGGGCTCCCCTGGGCCCAGGGGCGCCGCTGCGGGCGGAGTTCCACCAGCACCAACACACACACCAGCACACACACCAGCACCAACACTCATTCGCCCCCTTCCCGCCCGGGCTGCCCCCGACGCCGCTCATGCCTCCCGCCGCACCCCTGCCGGTGCGTAGGGAGTGGGCACAGAGGGGGGGGGAGCGAGGGCGCTGCGCACTTGCACGCACACACCCATCACAGACAGGCGGTGGTCTCACACCTCTGCTGGGTGGCACTGTGGGGGGTGGGAGGATTCCCCCTTTCCCTGTTCCTTCTGGGGTCATGCTGTGAGGTCCTTGGCCTCATACCCCAAGGGACAGGTGCTGGGGCCACATGGGCCCAGAGGGACATGAGGACACACCCCGTCAGGCTCCATGATCTCAGGGGACTCCCTGGAGCCCCAGCCCCCACCAGGTGTCATCAGGTGGCAGCAAGGCCTGGCCCTCGAAGTGGCAGCTAGTCCCCTCTGACTGCTGCCCCTCCACAGTCTGGCCAGTCTTCTGACTGTTGGCCACGCTGCCCAGTCATGTCCCTCCGGGGACAGCAGTGGGAGGGGTTGCTTCCTGGCTGTGACCTGGGGATGGAGCAGGACTGAGGTCGTTCACCAACCCCTCTCCAAGGGGCCTACCTGCAGCCCAGCTAGTGTGGGATGCTGCCCAGTGGGGGCACAGCGTGCAGAACAGGTCATCTCACTTTGTTCTCTCTCCCTCCAGTTTGACAAGTATGCCCCCAAGCTGGACAGCCCCTACTTCCGACATTCCAATGTGAGTGTGCGTGCCCCACATGGTGCCAAGGCAGCACTGGGCGCAGGGCCTGGCAGGGGTGGGCACCTGAAGGGTCTGTGGGGTCGTTCAGCCACTCACCATGCCCTCTCTGCAGTTCTTCCCGTCCTACCTTCCGGCTGCCCCAGGGATGCCCGCCCTGCTGCCGCACCCCAGCCCCTTCGGGTCCCTGCAGGGCGCCTTCCAGCCCAAGGTACCAGTGGGTGGGCATTGGGGGGGGCAGGAGGTGGGTATAGGTACTCAGCCCTGACCCTGTGGGTCTCCCCAACCTGCAGCCCCCTACTCTGACATGCAGGGCCAAGGCCAGATCTGGTAGGGAAGCCCCTCCCCACCTGGAAAGAGATTCTGCACCAAGGGGCAGGACTGGGTTTGGGGGGGGGGGGGTCCCATGGGAACAAGGTGGTCACAGCCCCTCTCTCACAGACATCCAGTCCCATTGAGGTGGCAGGCCGGGCCAGCGCTGTCCATGCTTTCCTGCAGAAGGGCCCCTCGGTAGGTGCAGCCTTGCCAGATAACCGCACTTGCTTGTTGGGGCTGAAGGTGGGGCGTGGAGGACAATGTCATGCTCCATCCTCCTGGGGCCCGGCCACCTGGTAGGTGGGTGTAAAGTCCCTCTTTTGTCCTGCACAGGTGCCAGGCCATTATCGAGCAGTGGCCAGGGTAAGTACCTTCCCAGGCGTGTGTGTCTGCACGTGGGAGGCTGTCTTCTCTGGGAGGGAGGGGTGGCCTGGGGAGGAGCCTGAGGCATGTCTGGCGGGCAGAGGTAAGGGTGGGGGTGGATGTGGAATGGACCCTGACCCTGGCTGTCCCACAGAAGCCTGGGAAGTGGTGTGCGGTCCACGTGCAGATTGCCTGGCAGATCCACCACCATCAGCAGAAGTTAAAGGTGGGACAGGCTGTGCAGGGGTGTGGGAGAGGGGCCCAAGAGAGGAGGCTGCCTGCTCTGGAAACCCAGTTCTCAGACATTACCACCCCACCCCCTGCCTCTCAGCAGGTGCAGCTGGACCCTCACAAGCCAGAGATGGGTGCCAAACTGGACCTGTTCAGTAGGCCCCCGGCCCCAGGTCTGTTTGCCGGCTTCCACTGCCCACAGAACCTGGCTCGGCCCCTCTTCTCCAGCACTGGTGAGGCCCGGAGGGCAGCTGGTCCTGAGCTGGCCAGGGTGACCCAGCCACTGCCCCCCACTTTTCCTGACCCACATGGCCCCAGGAGGGAGTCTGCTGGCTCTCACATGCCAACCCCTCCCCTTGTGGCTTCCCTGCTTCGCTCCCTCCCAGGTCAGCAGGGAAGCTTCCCCAGGGAAGCTCCTTGGAGAGGCAGCACCCTGGCCCCTTCACCCCAAGGAAGCAAGTATCAGCACAGCCCTGTTGTGCACATTTGAAGCACAGAGCCACCTCGGGCAACGGCTCCTCCCAGCAGGGCCTCCTCATGGGGGGTGCCACCTGGGCCTGCTGCGGACACTCTTCAGAGCTTCGAGGCCAGCCCCTTCCTGAAGGCACCCACATAGAACTGGCTGTGGCCTGTGAGGGCGGGACCTCAACCCCTAATGGGGGTGCCCACAAGCATTGTCTACGCCACACTTGTTCTGCCTTGGACACCTGCTGTTCTGTCCAGGACCACTACTGCCTGAGCCCCCTGGTCCCCTGGACACATGTGGGCCTTATGTTACTGACTGCAGGCCACACAGAGCCCCTTCCTCACAGCCAGGCCAGCACAGGCACCACTGTGGGCCTTTACTGAGGTCGTTAAGGGAATCCCTGTGTTTGTGGTCTTTCTTTCTAACCACCTGCATGGTACGTCCCATCCCCTTCCTCTGGTCTTTGGTAGAATCGACTCTTAGATGTTTTATGCTGCTTATTCGTGTTGTGACCCTCGTTCTGTAAACTACAGTTTCTAAGAGGCTACTGCTAGGGAGTGGAAGTGCATACTGACGTATCCATTTGATACGATAGGAGAGCTGACAATCTTGCTAAGTTCTCCTCAGGCAGATGAGTTCTTCATGGGTTCCTTGCGTCTCCTGCATAGAAAGCCACATCTGCAATGCTGCTGCTTATGCGTCCTCATCTAAGCCAGTGTTCTCGACCTTCCTACCGCCGCGACCCTTGCACACAGTTCCTCAGGTTGTCCTGATCCCCCAACCATAACCGTATTTTCATTGATACTTCATCACTGTCGTGTTGCTACTGTTATGAATCGGGTAACCCCTGTGAAACGGTCGTTTGACTCCCAGAGGAGCCGCAACCCACAGGTTGAGAGCCGCTGATAAACCAAATGACTTTTGTTCCTCCTCATAGCTTGCTGGCCACCAGTACAAAGTGGAGTAGAAATAGTGACCACAGGGCCTTGCGGTTGGTCCTGCTCTTATGGGGTGCTCAGCAACCCCCATGCCATGCCTTCCCCAAGAGGGGGACGTCTCTGCCCTGTGTTGATAGCTGTTCCCACTCCCACTGGCTGCTGAGCACCCACGCAGGCTTTTCCTGTGTCAGTTGGGTTCATTGCATCGATTTTCTCTCTTCACTCGTGTGCTCCCGGGGGAAGCTCACCAGGTCTCGGTGAATAGACTTCTTACTCTTCCTGCAGGCGCTTGTTGGCCATGGTTTCCCGCCTGCCCGGTCTGGCTGCTGCTGTTGTCTGCCCCCCTCCCTCTGAGATTCAGGAGTTGCCCATCTCCTGTTCTGATGGTGGAGCCCCCGCTGCTCTGAGGGCTGAGGCAAGACTCCAGCAGAAGCCCCTGCGTGGGGGCTTAGTTTCTGATTGGAAATTGAGCCCCACCGCGAGTTCATTTGCAGACCTGAAGGTGGCTGAGAACCACAGTGTCAGGGCAGTGGTTGTGGTGTTTTGACAGGTTGTCTGTGAGCGAGGTTTTAAATCTACAGCAGGTGGGACTGTTTCAGCTGGGAACTAGTGGGTGCAGGGAGAGAACTAGAAGCTCAGGGGCCAGGAGGGGGTGTGAAAAGTGTCACTTTCCCGGGAGGAAGCTGGAGTGACAGACGAGAGGTCGGTCCACGGAGACCTGACAGCCACCCTGTCTTCCCTCCACCGTTACTTTCCAGGGCTGGTCCCCACCTGCACCCCCATCTCCTCACACACAACTGCTCTTTGGTGCTTGGCCCCATAGGGGCTCTGAGGAGGCAGCCCTGGGGCACATTGGTGGGCTGGCCCTGCAGTCTGGGACCCCTCAGAACGATGGCGATCAGGCGCCATCTTCAGCTCTCATGACTCAGCTGTGCCTTCAGGACAGAAAAACCCATCCCACGGTCCTAGGGTGATGGAATCATTTATCTGGCTCAGAGAACAGCAGCGCCCTCAAGGCACAAGGCAGGGTCTCTGACTGTGCCTTGGCCATCTGTCCTCTTCTCCCCCCCACCCTCCAGGGGAATCAGGGAGGGGAGCCCCTCCCTAGCAGCTTGTTCTTAGCCAGCTTGTTCTTGTAGGTAAAAGCAGTCATGAGCCTCACCCCACCCCAGAGTATTGGAGGGAGTGGTAAACTGGGGTGCTTCATCCCCTGCAAGAACTACTAAGACCTTCTTAGCTGCCAACAGGACCCCTGGGTCTAAGGCCCTGGTCAGCAGCTAGCCCCTCTTTCTACCAGGTGTCCTACACCCTGCCACCAGCCCATTCGGACCCTCTGCCCATCACAGTAGCTTCCTGCCCACCAGTCACCTAGCAGGTAGGTGCCAAGTCTCCTGCTACTCAGACCAGCTTCCTCTGCCAGCCTGAGCTAGGCATGAGTAACCTTGAGCCCAGGGCACTCCACCATGCCTCGGTAGCACTCACCAGGCAAGTTCCTGGAGTGGGGGTAGGCAGGGCTTGCAGGAACCTGCACAGCCACCAGATTCTGAGCCCCTATCCCTACCTCACAGACTCTCTCAGCAGATCAAGCACCTTTGCCAGCCTGGGGAATGCTGCTTTCGGGGGCCTGGGAGGCCACACACTGAGTAAGCCCCCCCTTCCCATGACTCTACCCCTGTGACCCTCCGAACATGACCCCTGGCACTGTTGGCCTTGTGTAGATGGGCAGGCAGACCCCTCTTCTCCCTGCCAGCCCAGACTTCCCAGGATGTGGCAGGTCAGCGGCCTGAGCGGGCTGCCTCACACCCTGCCTGGCCTCCCCTGCAGCAGCCAGCGGCATCTTTGCACACAAGGAGGGCCCAGCTCTGCACGGCCTGCCCAGCCCCCATGAGGCCTGGAGCCGGCTGCACCGCACGCCACCCACCTTCTCCATGCTGCCCCCGTGGTCCAAGCCCCTGGATGCGGAGCGTGTCTCCACCCTGACCAGTCACCACCAGGAGCCGGACAAGGGCAGGGAGGAACGGTGAGTGAGTGGCAGGGCAGGAGGAAGGGGTGCTACGGGACGATGGAGTGCGTCACATTCAGGGCCCCAGCCTCAGGTGGCTGCGGCTTGCAGGTAGGAAGGGGTGTGAGCTGGCCTGTGGTGGGGCTGGAGCAGCACGCTGTGCTGTTTGCCCGGCCACATGGGGGCGCCAGGGCCTGGCCCCGGCAGGAGAGCTGAGGGGTGTTACACCCTGGAGCTGGCTGGCTGTGGACGTGACTCTGCCAATAACCTAGGAAACCAGGAAACACAGCCTTCCCACCCCTTCCAAGCCCAGGCTGCGATCCCTATTAGCCACTTCCCTGTTCCCAGACTTGAGGAAGGAGGGGCACGGGTAGCAGCCAGGTGGCCCCCTAAACGCAGGACTTGCGGGGGTGTGGGCCTTACTCTGGTCATGGTGAGGGACAATGGCTGTTCACTTTCCACCGGCAGAGCCATGGGCAGGTGTGGGAGTGAAAGGGGTGTTGTGATGGGGGTGGTACTCTTTGGAGAGACCTCACTCCCATAAGCTTAGGTTGCACCCCCTGCAACAGAGAGGTGGGTGAGAGGGGACCCTACAGGTGTGGGACTAGACTCCTGACGTCCAGAGCTGATGACACACGTCAGTGCTGTTCCTCAGGGCCAGGTGTGGGCACTGGTTTGGGTGCCCTCTGTCCTGTAGGAGCTAATGGGACACCACCCACCCGACCCGAGGGGCATCACCCGGGGTGGGGGTTGGCAGACCTGCGGCCTCCCAAGTGACTGCTGCCTTGCCACCCCCACCCAGGGACATGCTGGATAAGGCGCGACTGCTGAGCAAGGCTTCACCCATCGCACCGCTGAGCCACCCAGTCAGCAGCCTCCTGCTCCTCCGGACCGGCAGCCTGGGTGGGCCCGGGGCCCCGGGTGAGAGAGAAGCGGCTGAGCCCCGGGTCAAGGAGAGCCGCTCTCCTGCCAAGGAGGACTGCGTCAAGGCTCTGACGCGCCCACAGTCGCCCTACAGCAAAGTGGCCCTGGGGGACAGCCTGCGCCTGACCGGCCTGCTGGGCCGCCAGCCTGAGCCCGCGGTTGCCACGCCGCCCCAGGCCGACGTGAAAGTCAAGGAGGAGCGGCGCGAGGAGGTGGACGCGCCCGTGCCGGGGCCCCTGGCCGGCCGCGAGCGCACAGCCTTCCCGTGGGAGCCGCGCCGTGCCTGCCCCGCCGTGCCTGAGCCCACCGAGCGCGCCTACCGGGACCGGGAACCGCACGACTACAGTCCCGAGCGCCGGAGGACCGCGCGCCACCTGCCTGCGCACCTGGGTGCCCACCTGCCGCCCCCCGGCCCCGCGCTCGACCGCGCTCCGCTGCCGCCACTGCCCTCCCCACACTGCCCGCGCCTGCTGCCCGCCGCGCTCGGCGCACCCCC